TCCCAGAGTGCTGGGATTACAGGCGTGAGCCACTGGGCCCAGTCCCCCCTCTTTTTTTTTTTTTTTTTTTTCCTGTCCTACTAAGTTAGGCTGGACTAATGACAGGGATTCTCATTGGCCGAGGTGCTTCCTGAGGTGGAGGAGAAGTAGTCACCGAGCCTCTAGTGTGTGCTAGGTACGCATAACTTGCAGATACACACATCTAAGTGTTCATGCTTTCAAAATCCCTTTATTCCTCTTACCGAACATCCTACTTTTTGCCCAGTTTGGAGGTATCAGAGCAAGAAACTGAAGGCTGTTATCTCTTTCACCACCTAAATTCTCTGGGCCTGGAGGTTATCACTGTCTGATTTTTGAGGCCTTACCCTGATGGCCACTGAGGAAGGAGCGGGGTGGGGCCTCTGTTGGTTACTCGTCTCAGACCACTGAGCAGTCCTTACGGTTACTGGCTGTCTCCAGTCTGAAGATCCAACCGCCCCTCCCTTCTCTTTCTCTGGCTCCAGTAAGCCAGGCATCTCCGCCCCATGCAGAACCTTCTTCACTTCCACCTCCAGGCCTTTACCCTGCTCTCCTGCTTTTCTGCCTAGTTAGATTCATCCATCTGTGCTTGGAGGCTCCCTTCCCTCATGCAAGCTTTGTGTATTGCCCTAGGCCACGCTGATCCCTTTCTAACTTGATCTCCTGATAAGCCTAGTAATCAAAAACAGAATAGCAAGCTGTTGGCTGGGCATGGTGGCTCACAGCTGTAATCCCAGCACTATGGATGGCTGATATGGGTTGATTACTTGAGCCCAGGAATTTGAGACCAGCCTGGGCAACGTAGTGAGACCTCACCTCTACCAAAAAAAAAAAAAATTAGCTGGTCATGGTGGCATGCACCTGTTGTCCCTGGAGGTGTGCAAGTAATTGCAGGGACTCTGTAAAGAGGATTTGGACTCTGCTAGGGAAGTGGGTGAGTTGGGAGAACCTTAAAGGTCACCCCTGTTCTCGAGGGTCTAGATGGGAGAGTACAATTCCAGCCCCATTATGCCAGACTGAGTTGGCGTTGAAGTGCTCCCTGCAGTGCGCTGGTGGGGCTTTGGGAAAAGCTTCATCAGGGAGGGCTTCCCAGAGGAGGCAGCACTGGTCCTGGAACTTCACTGCATCTGCAAACAGCAGATGACCAACTGTTTAGTGAGAAGGACAGGCCTCCAAAGATGTGTGGTGAGGTGGTACTCCACTTCCTGTGTCTCTCACATCACCTTGCTTCTGCTGGCTCCTCAGGTTCCACTGTGGCCTGCTGAGAAGAGGAGTACCAGCAGCCCAACCTGACCTCCTCATAGTGCTGGAATCAAGGGAGCAGGAGGCCCTACCCATTTCAGTCTCTAAGGCCCATTTCATTGGAGGGCTCTGATTGGCCCAGCTTGGTCACACCCATCCCATAGACCCATCATGATGGACTCAACTATGGGATGGAGGTTAAAAGTATAAGCTCAGGAGCCCTATCATTTGGGTTCAAATCCTTAGCTCTGTGACCTTGAGCAAGTTATTGAGCCTCTTGGGCCTCAGGTTTTTCATTTGTAAAATGGGGGTAATATTTCAGCCTTGAAAGGTTTCTGTGAGGATTAAATGAGATAATATATGTAAACAGCTAACAGTAGTGCCTGGAATACAGTAAGTGCTCAACTGAGGTCAGCTGCCATCATCCATGATCATGTTTCATGCTTTTCAACCATGACTGTATCTTTGCCTTACTTGATTTCCTCCATCATTCAGTAGGGGAGAAACCCCAGCAGTTACACCTGTTCAGCTGTTTCCTTCCTGAATCACAGGGAAGCTAAGGTCGGGGCAGCTGAAGTCCACCTTCCCCTGGACCGCAGGGCCAGACCCCAGTATTTCCAGCAAAACCCTATCCCTAGAACTCAACTGTGTGTGTCTCCTCCTGTCCTCAAGTCCCCAGACCTCTTTGTGGCTAATCTCAGGGGAAGATTTTGGTGGAGGAGGAGAGAAGAGCTGACCTCTCTCGTCTGGTTCCTTCCCAGGCATGGCTCTGTCAGCGCTGATGAGGCTGCCCGCACAGCTCCCTTCCACCTCGACCTCTGGTTCTACTTCACGCTGCAGAACTGGGTTCTGGACTTTGGGCGCCCCATTGCCATGGTGAGTGTGAAATGGTGCACAGGGCCCCGACCAGCACTGAGGACACTTATTGTGACTTGAATTTGCCGAGTGACCTTAGACAAGTCACTTCTCCTTTATCTCCCAGTAAACTGAGAGAATAGGCCTGGATGCCTTCATATCCTTAGCTCTATGACTTGGCCCGTCAGGCAACTGCCAGCAAGTGGAGGGGGGGCCTGAAGAGTCATACTGTGCCCCGACTCCTATGGGGGAACTGGTGGTCCTGAACAGTCATACTGTAATACTGTAACCCCCTCTGGCCTGTGTCTGGAAGCAGGTGAACCAGGTTGAACCAAATCACTAAGACAGACAAAGGAGTATGGGAAAGGAAGTGGAGCACCCCCGCCATCCGCCCCCACCCCCCACCACCTGTCCTTCCCTATTACCTTGGGATAGTATTATTTTTTCTGGAGTTGAAGCACATAGGCTGATTTTGCATATTATATATGACTGAGCCATGGGTAATTTTTAATGCCATCCAGTGAAACCATCCCCTGCCCTCCAAGGCTACTTAATCCTTTAGTATCCAGTGGTGGCCTCCACAGAAGAGATTAATGCTGGGAGGGCACCAGTGCCCCTTGCTTGTAGTGGGAGGATGGATGATAGATAGATAGATAGATAGATAATTGATAGATGATAGATAATAAATAGATGAACGTGAAGAAAATTAAGTGAGGTATCACCAGGGATCAAGTCATTATTTGGTAGGGCCCGCAGACCCCTCCCACCCAACTTGCTGGCAGTTGCCTGAGGGGCCACAGTCATACAGCCAAAAGATATGAAGGCATCCAGGCCTATTCTCTCAGTTTACTGGAAGATAAAGGGGAAGTGACTTTTCGAAGGTCACTCAGCAAATTTAAGTGTAAAAATAACGATATCCAATGCGGAAACTGGCACTTTGTAACGTCTAGTGATCATGCCAATTAGCAAAGACATTTTGGGGCCGGGCATGGTGGCTCATGCCTATAATCCTAGCACTTTGGGAAGCTGAGATGGGACGATCACTTGAGCCCAGGAGTTTGAGACCTGTCAGGGCAATATAGTGAGACCCCGTCTCTACAAAAGATTTGTAAATTAGCTGGGTGTGGTGGTGTGCACCTGTAGTCCCAGCTACTCAGGGCTGAGGTGGGAAGATCTCCTGAGCCTGGGAAGTCGAGGCTGCAGTGAGCCGTGATCATACCACTGCACTCTAGCCCGGGCGACTCGGTGAGACTCTGTCTCAAAAAACAAAACAAACAAAAAGCAAAGCCTTTTTGGAAAGCAGTAATAATTCATAAGTAACAACTTGGCAAGATTAGTACTTAGAATAGTGCCTAACACAATAAGTGTTCAATGCATTTTTATTGAATGAATAATAATTACAACAAAGTTAGAATAGTGGCTAACATCGAATGCTTACTCTGTTCTAAGCTCTTGATATGTTTCAGTTTATTTAATTCTCATATCAACACTATTGCTAATCTCAGTTTTACAGATGAGGAAACGAGAGAGAGAGAGAGAGAGAGAATAAGTAACTGGCTCAAGGCAAGCACAGAGGCCAGCATCTGCCCAGGCATTCTGGCCCCAGAAACCCTTCCTGACGAGGTTGAATTCTCTGTCACATAAATATCCAGAATCCTAATATATTCATCCCTGCTGACCCAGTAATACCCTTCCAAGAATCTGCCCATAAGGATATAATCAGCAAGAAGACAGCAGTGTCCTGTAACTCAAAGATATTCAGTGCAGTGTTTATAATAGCCAAACCTTAGAAGTGACTTGAGTGTCCAGCATTAGGGACTGGGTAAATCAGTTTTGCTATGTCCAGTATAGAGAATGTTTCCTGGCCATTAAGCAGAAATTATGGATACTATAGAGCAACCTGGAATATTTAAGGAGAAAAAAGTTCCTAAATGACACACAGACTGACTAATTGCAGTTCAATAACGAGCTTGTCTACCTGGGATCAAAGACTTGATGGGCGTAAAGAGAAGCTGTCCTGGCAGTGCTGTCAGGGAGTGATGGTGGGTGCTGGTTCTCCTTCCTGCAGACTTTTGAAGGTTGCCTTTTAAATGTGGAAAAATAAGAGGAATTGAGCCAAGAGTTGGGGCATCTGGTTGGGTTTGTGTGTGACCTAGGGCAAGTCACTGTCCTGGGCTTCATTTCTCTCCTGTCCAAGAAGACTGGTTGGGCTGGCTGCTCTGAACCCTCTTCTAGCATGAAGGAACCACATACTGGGGACCAGAGAAGCTGCCCATCAAACTGGTGCTCTGGGGAGAGGGAGAGATGAGGCCTGGAGTGGGCTCGTGGCTCCCCTCACTAGGACCCAGCTTCTACTGGCATAACAGGGTCTCCTATTGGGCAAATCACTTCCCCCATCCTGCTCAGAGCTACTGTGACCACTGTAACCCTAAGTAGGACTTGGTGGAGAGTAGACATTTGAAAAGCTCATACATAAGCTAGAGATTTTCAAATGTATGCATAATAGTTGCAAATTTGTAATAACTAAAACAAAAACATTTACAAGTTATAAAAGTAACATGTCATAGATGGAACATAGTTGTAACATAAAGAAGTGTTAGACTCAGGCCGGGC